CGACCCCTCGCGGCGCCCACTCCTTGGCCGACGAGGGCCCCACGGCCCGCCCGCCCCAGGAGAGAGCGGCTTCGCTGTCGGGGGGCCCAGCGCTGATCTGTCGGCGATGCCTCGCCGAGTCCAGGTACGTCTTCATCTTGCGGGAGAATTTCACGCCGACCGAGCGGATCAAGCCGGTCCGCTAGCGGTTTTCATGAGGGCCGAGTACTTTGTCATGCTGGTCCTTGCACTACCTTTCTTTCTTTCGCCGAGTCCAGGTCCAGGCAGATGTTCCCCCCCCCCCGAGCCAGCCCCCCCCCCCGCCCTCACGTTCCCCCGCGTCCCTGGCGGGGATGTGTCACCGTAACCACCGCCCGGGGGATCGATCGTCGGGGACCTCGGCAGGCGGTGCAAGTGGAGATCTTCGAGGCCGAACATCTCCATGTCCACCAGGCCTCGGGGCGGAGCCCCGCTTCGGAGCTCGGCATGGCGGCCCAGCATGGCCGCGGAGGAGCCGAGGAGAATGACGTGTCTGTGGAGCGGCTCAGAGCCCCGCTTTGGAAGCCGAGGATAATGGAGAAGCAGAGGCCGATACGCCGAGTGATGACGGGACTCGCACTCCTGCTTTCGACAAAGGTGCAGATTCTCGGAACTGCGGGCCAGGCCAGCACCGCGTGGCTGCGCAGCAGCGTCTTCCGAGGATGTTGCCGGCGTCGGCAGAGCGGCGCTGCACGAAGGGCGCCTGTTCTTCACCGAGCGCGTTCCACGACTCGCGCAAGTGCCTGCTCGCAAAGTGCCTGCTCCTTGGCATCGCTCGGACGTGTGCATTTTTCCCTCGGCGAGGACCCTCGAGGAGCATCCTGGATCATCTGGCGAAGAAACCACGCACGAAGCCGACAAAAAAACACAGGGAATGGACGTCCGAGCGATGGGGAGGCTCGCAGAGTGTCGTCCTCGATGTAGTTGATCACCTCCCACCAAACCACCCCAACCCAACCCGAAGGCCTTAAATTGACCTCCATTTCCAGTGGGGGGGGGGATCGGGGAACATCGAGAAAACACATATGGAACCCGTACCCCCCCCAACCCGAAGTTGGGGTCTTCGGGTTGGGTTGGGGTGGTCTGGTAGGTAGTCAGTTGAGCGTTGACCCCGCGCGGCGGCTCCGGGCCATCTGCGAGCAGTTTGCGTTGCGCAGGGTAGGCCGCGCCTGCTCCAGCCCTTGGGCCCAAGACCAGGGGCGGCCCCAGAGCGGCCAGTGAGAGCGGCTGCGTGCCGTTGAGGTGTAGTAGCCAGCCCGTTATATCTGATATATATATATGTATGTATATATATGTATGTATGTATGCATCTATATATATACATATATATATATATATATATATGTATATACATTTGTATATATACATATATGTATGTTTTTTTTTTCATACACATATATACATATATACAAAGAGAGAGAGAGAGAGAGAGAGGGAGCCATAGAGAGAGACTGAGAGAGAGAGAGAGAGAGAGAGAAGGAGAGAGCGGTGGTCGTGGTGTTGGTGTTGGTGATGATGAAGGTGATAATGTATGCTTGTGGTGATGGGGGTGGCGAGAGGGAGGACGGTGAGGGTGGGAATGTGAGGAGGACGCTGGTGGACGAGGGGGATGCGTAACATGATGATGCTGGAACTTGCGATAACTAACGATGTCGGTTATGATGATGAGTCTGTTCATCGGGATGCTGAGTGGGATGGTGATGGCAGACGGGAGCGATGAGGAGGATGTTTGTCGCGGCCCATGGGAATGAAAAGCAGGCCCGTGCTGGTGATGGCGGTGATGGTATGTAAACCTACCGTCGTGTTTTGTTACAGCGAGAGATCGGCGTCACCCCAACATACTAATACTATGTGTGCGTCGCCCCCCCAGGTGCGACGCGCGCACCGAGAAATCTTATAGTATGTGCGTCGTGGCGGGCGCTTTTTGGCCACACCGGTCGGGAAACGATCTACTACAAGACGGGTATACTATATGTTTGGGTCGGACGCGCGCCTCCAACGAGGACATATTAGTAGTATGTCGCTGTGCGTCCCAAGTGAGGGTGCCAGTACCTTTCCTCCCCTCTTGCCGCCACTTGCTGCCCCCCGCGCGAGGCGACGCCGCCGCCGTGGCCGCCGCGGCGGAGAGGGCGGAGGCCAAGGACAAGGCGCGCGGGGCCTGAACGACCGGGTGCCCCGAGATGCCGCCGCGGGGTCCTTCTCCCCGTCTCTGCTCGTTGTGAAAAATCGATGTGGAAATTTCACGGCGCACGGGTTTGGGACATTTGCGGCTTCCGGGGGTGCTCACCTGACCCCAGGACCGTCGAGAAACGGCTTGGGGTGAAGATGCGGTCCCTGGGAAGGGGTACTGATCTCTGGGGGTCCGAGGTCTGAGTTCTGTCGCTCATACTTCTTCGGGTGGAGTTCCTGGGAGATTAATTCAGCAGCGGCTCTGATATATCCAGGGTCGAAAACCTGGTTAATCAGGCATGACCCCGTTTAGTTCCGCTTAGCCCTGGTTAGCCCTGGTTAATCCAGTTGGGGCTAATCTGGCTTAGTTGCCCCTTAACTAATCGGGCTTCATAGCCCAGAATCGTCCTCACAACTCGGGTGTTTTGAGAAGTACCCCTGGCCCAAGGTACCCCTAGGATTCTCGGGGTGGCCCAGACGGCCTCCAGGGCACCCCTCACGAGGCCCAGAGGGCCCCAGGGGCTCCAAAATGGAGCGGAAAGCTGGGGGCACCTCGGGCCAGGGGCACTTCTAGCAACACCCGTACAACGACCTCCCAGGAGCTGACCCGCGTTCCCACGAAGACCTCCAGATGAGCGGCGCAAAGCAGAGGGGTCGTCTTCACCGACGTTGGCGCGTGAGCAGCGGGGTCTTCTTCACCCACGTCGGGCGTAAGCGCCCCTTGTCTCCAACGTGGCGTGCCGCGCCGGCGGCCCGCGTCAGTTCGCCACGTCATCTCGCGTAAGACCCATCTCTTTTCGTCGCGGAGATCTCCTCCTCCTTCTCCTCCTCTTCCTCCTCCTTGTCCTCCTCTTCCTCTTGCTCCTGCTCCTGCTCTTCCTCCTCCTCCTCCCCTCCTCGTCCTCCTCTTTGTCCACCTCCTCCTCCTCCTCCTCTTCCTCCTGCTCCTCCTCGTCCTCCTCTTCCTCCTCCTTGTCCTCCTCCTCGTCCCCCCCTCCTCCTCCTCCTCCTCCTCCTCCTCCTCCTCCTTCTCGTCCTCCTCCTTCTCGTCCTCCTCCTCGTCGTCGTCGTCCTCCTCCTCCTCCTGCAGATTCGCCTATGCTCAGACTCGCAGACTTTCGCTCCCCCCCGCACGCGCGCCGTGGAGAGGCGGAGAAGGAGGCACAGGCCGCGTACGCCGCCGAGCAGGCCAGGGTGACGAGGCGGGCGGCGCGCCCTTCCCTAGGCATCGCTCGGCCGTCCGTGTGCAGTTTTTCTGCGGTGAGGAGGAGGAGGAATAGGAGGAGGAGGAGGAGGAGGAGAGGAGGAGGAGGAGGAGGAGGAGGAGGAGGAGGAGGAGGAGGAGGAGGAGGAGGAGGAGGAGGAGGAGGAGGAGGGAGGAGGAGGAGTGAGGACAAGGAGGAGGAGGAGGAGGAGGGGAAGTGAGGACGGAGGCGGCGGAGGAGGAGGAGGAGGAGGAGGAGGAGGAAGTGAGGGGCAGGAGGAGAGAGGGGGAGGAGGAGGAAGGAGGAGGAGGTGGAGGAGGAGGGAGGAGGAGGAGGAGGAGGACAAGGAGGAGGAGGAGGAGGAGAGGAGGAGGAGGGAGGGAGGAGGAGGAGGGAGAGGAGGAGGAGGAGGAGGAGGAGGAGGGTGATGAGGAGGAGGAGGAGGGAGGGAGGAGGAGGAGGGAGAAGGGGGGGAGGAGGAGGAGGGAGGAGGAGGAGGAGAGGAGGAGAGGAGGAGGAGGAGGAGGAGGAGGAGGAGGAGGAGGAGGAGGAGGAGAGGAGGAGGAGGAGGAGTGAGGAGGAGGGAGGAGGAGGAGGAGGATGATGAGGATGAGGATGAGGATGAGGATGGAGGAGGAGGATGAGGAGGGAGGAGGAGGAAGGAGGAGGAGGAGGAGGAAGGAGGAGGGAGGAGGAGGAGGAAGGAGGAGGAGGAGGAGGAGGAGGAGGAGGGAAGGAGGAGGAGGAGGAGGAGGTAGGAGGTGGAGGGGGAGGAGGAGGAGGAGGAGGACGAGGAGGAGGAGCGAGGAGGAGGAGGAGGAGGAGAGTTGTGAGGAGGGGAGGAGGGAGGAGGGAGGAGGAAGGAGGAGGAGGAGGAGGAGGAGGAGGAGGAGGGGGAGGGGAAGGCGGAGGAGAGGAGGGAGGAGGAGGAGGAGGAGGAGGAGGAGGAGGAGGAGCATTGGGGAGCATCCTGGACCATGCTCGGAAAAACATTCGCACGATATCGAAAACACACGCCGGAAATGAACGTCCGATCAATGGCAGGTTCTTCCACCTCATCTTGTGCGGGAGAAAGACGGACGTACACGTTCATGAATCCACGTTGGTTTCGAAAGTACGCATGCACGAACGTTCGTGTCACGAGATTGGTCTCGCTGACTGGGGGGAGCCGTATTCATGTACGTGGGTGGGTTCGGACGTCCTTTGTGGGCTCCTTGCTTGCTGCGAAAAGAAATCACGGCGGGAGTTTTGTGTTCATTTTCGGCCTCCAGGGGCCCTTGCTGGGCCCCAGGGAGAAAAGGCTGGAGGTCCAGACTTCCTGGGGTCCGCGTGCACAGAGCCACGGCGTTGGAGATCTGGGGTGCCCCGCGGCTCTCAGAGCCAGGCTGCCGACGGAGCTGCAGGTGCGCACACATACGGCATCATCCGTGGCCTGTTCTGGCAAGGACGGGTGGTCTGAATGAGGAGGACGACGGAAAGGATGAGGACGAGGGGGAGGAGTAGCAGCAGCTGGACGATCCCCCCCCCAGGCCCTTCACGTTCTGTAGACGCGTCCTAAGCAGTGCTTGCTCTGAAGGGGCTCTTCACCGAGATCTGACAGGCCTGGAAACTGTTTCACAACGTGGACCCCCAGAGGTACCGACCGCCTTTCCAGGACAGTTTTTTAATCCCGAGCCGTTTCTGATGGCCCCGAGGCCCGGGGTGGTCCCTCTGGAGGCCGAAGACTCTCGAAGCCGTTCGTCGCTACTTTTTCCCCGCAGCGAGAGGACAGGGCTGGACCTAAGCGGTGTTTTGGCGATTTCGTGGGCCGTTTTCGTCTCGACTTCGATCTGCGGTAGAGGTGGGTTGAAGACAAAACGACGGACAACGAACACAAAACGAAAACGAACAACACCGTTCAGGTTCAGCCCTGCGAGAGGAGGTGGGGCCCAGCTTTTAGCCTTTGGCGAGAACGGCCGTTACCAGGGGGGGGGGCTGGATGGGGCGGGGCGAGGGAGCTGGTAACGTCGCGAGTCGCGCTGGCGTTAAGTTGGGCCTGTCCCTGCACAGGAGGAATATTCAAAACCAGTCTAACACAGTATGGGGACAATCTTTTTGAGTATTTGTTTGTCAATCTTGGTGCATTTCGTTTTTTTTTCCACATTTTTCGTCCAAGCTCCCCCCCTAGGGGGACATGCCCGACCCAACCCTAACCTCAGGGGGTCTGTCATGCTGCCGGGGCTCCCCCCCCCACCTTAAGCTCCCGCTCCCGGCTGGCAACGACGCTCGTGCTTCCTTCCTCGTCCTTCCTTCCTCGTCCTTCCTCGTCCTTCCTTCCTCGTCCTTCCTCGTCCTTCCTCGTCCCTCCTCGTCCTTCCTTCCTCGTCCTTCCCCTCAGCAGCATCGCCATCCGGGATCCTCACCCCCCCGATCATCAGCGGTGGCCGCCGCCGGGGAGCCATGACTTTCTCAGTGCTGTTGGGTCCCAATCCGTCAATCGGCCCACTCGAAGACAAACTCCTACTCTCCCATTGTTTTTTGTTCTCTTTCTATTTTTGTTTTGCTAGAAACAACAAGGCCTGTGACGGTCATATTTCCAAGCGTCGCTGGCGCAAACCGTGATGTTACCAGATGGGAGGAGGGGGAGGGTAGGAGCAGCCCTGGTGACGGCCGTCATCGCGCATCGTATCAAACAACGGGGGCTCGTTCCTGGTGACAGGCTTTCTCAAGGGGCCAGCCCTTGCCCCCGAGTCTGCCCAGCCGAATCCCGTACTCTGGTGCCGCCCTCCGCCGCCGCCGATCTTTCTGCGGGTGTCCCCTGAGTGAGGAGGGGCGGAGGAGGAGGAGGAGGAGGAGGAGGAGGAGGAGGAGGAGGAGGAGGAGGAGGAGGAGGAGG